AGCTTGTTTCTTGTGGATACACTAGAGGGGCAAGGGAGAACGGGTTTTTACAGAGAGAAAGAAAAGGGATTTGCATAATTGCTTGTTGCCTCTCCACCCATCTTTCTTTTAGCAGAAGCTAAATCTGGGTTGCTTCACTGGGAAACCAATTGCGTCATGACCTAGCCTTAAGGTTCCTGAAGCTTCTGGCGATTAGCATAAATCTTCTGCTGGTCTGTATAGATGCCATTTTGGAAGTTTACAGTTAATTAAGAAAACAAAAATTGAGCCAGCAATTTGGGGAGGAGGAAATACATTTGCCCAAGAGCCAGAATATGAGACTGTTCAGATAAAGAGAACCAATTGCTCGATGTTGCCATCTCAGAGAATTTTGCCCCAGAGGGAGGAGGCAGCTGTGCCGAGTGAATGCGGAAGAAGATGAGAAATGTCTGCCCATAAGGACGTATCACCTGACGTGCTGCTTTGCCTTTCCAGGTCTGTTACTGTCTCAAGATAAATCAACATGTAAGCGGTGGCTCAAGTGGTTAAGACACTGAACTGCAGGCTGTGGAAGGTCAGTAGTTCAGCAGTTCGAGACCCGAGTGTGCTGCATGATGGAGTGAGCTCCCGTCTCTAGTTCCAGCTCCTGCCAACCGAGCAGTTCGAAAGCAAGAAATTGCAAGTAGATAAATAGGTACCACTTCAGTGGGATGGTCACAGCGTTCCGTGCGCCTTGGTGTTTAGTCATGCCGGCCACATGACCACGGAAACGTCTTCGGACAGCGCTGGCTCTTCAACTTTGAAACGGAGATGAGCACCGCACCCCTAGAGTCAGACTCGACTGGCTTTCGAGCAAGGGAAACCTTTACCTTTAAGCCAGTCCGTATTGCCCTTTCCATCTCAGAAATGGGATCGTTCATACTTCACAACATCCAAGAGTTGTTCAGGAAAGCACGATCCATTCCCGGGGTTACTACAGATAAGCTTTTGCTAACATTGCAATAATGTAAAGCCAATATGGAAGCTGGTTTATCATGAACTAGTAAAGCTCTCTTTGTTGGAGGCACAAAACTGTCGTTCTACCAGCTGCACTTTGTGTATATACAAGCCACGGCCTGTGCCACCCCTTCCCCCTCCCTCCTCCCGTCTGTCAAATATAGAGAGTCACAAACCCATAAGAACAAAAACCCTCCAATCCCCATGCAACGGACGATGAACAATGGCCCCAATGAGTGTGAGAGCTCTGTTTAGCCTATCAGCATTCTTAATAACTGGCGACTTCTGTTTCCCCCTCATTGAATTCAGAGCTATACAATGCCCAGAGTGTGCCGTCAGCAACTCCCCCCCCCCCGTTTGCTCTGCCGTGGTAGACAAAAAGATTGGACAGAAGATCTTGCAAGGTTCTGAGTTTTACAGGCTGCTGATCGCAGGCACGGGCCCAAAGCTGATATGTCGCATTTGAAATTTAAGAAGACACTGCAGACAGAGATCCCAACTCGGCTCGACGAAGGGACCTTTAGAAGAGAGCGGAACAAGCTCCTCCCAGGATGAGCATGGAGAGCCCAGGCCGGCCGGAAATCTTCTGAACCAGGCGCTTTTCTCCTGCCGGCGCCCTGATAATGCCAAGAAGCAACTTTGCGGGAAGCATATGAGCATCATTGACTCATCAGCACACCACGGTTCATAGTGGGTTATTTATACCAAAGTTACGGGGTGGGGGGGAGAAAAGGAATGAACGCGAGCCTGCAAAATCTTTCTTCCGTCTGCTGCACTGAGCTCTTCCTCAAAGGCCTGAGCAAGGAGGATGGAATACGCCGCCAAGGTCTGAAGCTTTCCAAACTGTGCCAATGGTAAAACTCCAGAAGAGTGTGTTGGGGGGCAGGGGCCTTAAAGGAAAGAGACTGCTAAATAATGCCAGGTTTCTAGGAGGCCCTTTAGCATTCCACGCACATCTTTACAAGACAAGGGTACAAGTAGCTTTTGGAGTACCATCCAGCTCTTATTGGTAGAAGGTCATAGAATTTAAGACCAGGAAGGTCAAACATTCAGTGTGGCTAATAATAATAATCAGGAGCCATTTCCTGCAGGAGCGCACAGGAGCGGAGCTCCGGCAGTAAAGAGCCCAGGGGGCGGGCATATGCAACAAGCCCCAACCCCTGCTCCCAGCAGCCCTTAGTCAGAGCAAGAAGCAGCCAGGTAAGTTGCAGAGCTCCCCCCGCCCCGGTCCAAAACAGTCCAGTGGCACTTTTAAGACCAAGTTTTATTCAGGTACAAGCTCTCCCTCCTCTGCCAGGACAGATCTGCATGTTTCCCCCCCTCCCCAAATAGCTAGCAATCTAAAATAGTCCAGTGGAACCGAAGCGGTGGGTGTTGCCTTCTGACACATGATGTCAGGGGGTGTGGCATATGCAAATAAGTTATGCTAATGTGTTCCTGCACCTCTTTTTCTATGAAATGACCCCTGATAATAATAATAACACCCATCAATGAAAGCAGGCATTAGCTTCAGCAACACTAGCCATAATGGCAGAGAAAAAGCACGTGGCCCCAGTCTTCAGTGCCTCTGTGAGTGAAGATGATGATGCAAACCAAGCTGCAGTCCCCAGTCCCACTGCTTTTTATCTAAACTATACACCTTGATACATCGACATGAATCTGAAAATAAACCTGCTGGATCAAAATGCAGAAGGAAGGGACACACCCAGAGGGCATTAGGTACTATTCACATAAATGGAAAACCAGCCCTGGACCGAGAACGTGTTGCATGGATTTCAAAGGGGTTTCGATTGCGCCACACTGAGTCCCATTGTGTGCTAGCTAGGTGGTACTCTGAATCTGTGATATAGCTGGTTCTGTGAGAAATGCTATGGAACGGAAGTGTTCTGGAAGCAAAAAGGGGCCTTAATTGCCTCATATGGATCAGCAGTACATGTTCTGAAATTAGGGAGAGTCCCTCAGAATAAAAGACCTTTGGCAATCCTAACCTCAGGCAGGGCTCTTTTTGTAGAAAAAGTCCAGCAGGAACTCATTAGCATAATAGACCACACCTAATAGCAGAAACGCATAAGCATATTAGGCAACACCCCTGACAACATAGCTAATTAGCATATTAGGCTGCACCCCCATGTTACCAGAAGTGTGGTCATCCAGCCACACCCACCTTTTGCTTCTTATTCTGTTTACCCTGTTTGTTGTCAAAACCCAGGGCTTTTCCTTTGCATGTTAGGCCACACACCCCTAACGTAGCCAATCCTAATGAGTGTCTGCTGTTGGGAGTGGCCTATTATGCTAATGAGTTTCTGCTGGGCGTGGCCAACTCAGGAGCCAGCCGGAACTCCGTTCCTGTGCGGTCCTGCCCAAAAATAGCCCTGCTAACCTAGGAAAGTAGATTTTCAGAAATTCATAATACTGACATTCCCTTACCTCCTTTGATGCTGCAACTATAGCATGCTCACCACTCTTGAAAAGCCAGCCCTTGTTTCGGGTCTGAAATGGGAGCTGAATTCCCCTGGTAAATTTATACATCCTGGATGTTTGGGAAATGGAGCAGTGAACTCATTTTAAAAAAGCTAAATCAACAGGTATTTTCCATTATAATGGGAAGCAGGTGAACAGAAGGAAAGCAGCCTTATTTAAAGGATAGCAGAAATATCCTGCATTCAGCACTGTACTCTAATTCAACATGCACTTAGCAGATTGGTATTCTTTAGGACGATCAATGTATCAGGGCCCACTGGCAGCCAAGGGCAACAACCACGGTGCCACTCTGCATTTCCCACTTCCCCGTCTATTTTTATAACCTCTGCTGCCAGTCTGAAGAAAGCTATGATGCAGTAAGCATCATTAATCTACTGCTTTTGTCAGAATAGAATGGCATGCATGCATGTACGCACACACAGCTAGCACAAAGCAGGGGGAGAAGCCCAACCCTAAGGTTATCATTCCAAAGGAGGAAATTTTCGACAGGATGCAAGGAATGGAACGGATCAAGTCCCAGTGTTGGTTTGGCACCAGTGTTCCCTCTAAGCTGAGTTAGTGTGAGCTAGCTCACAGTTTTTTAGCCTCCAGCTCAGACATTTTTGTCTTAGCTCAGGAAAGAGGGCTCCAGAGCAAACGTATTCAGGTAGCAGCCATATCGCTGGCTCACAACTTTAATGGCAGTAGCCCACACAGTAGAATTTTTACTCACAAGGCTCCGCAGCTTAGTGGGAACGTTGTCTGGCACCCTATTTACAGCATTAATAGCTAATCAAACAGAACAACAAAGCTTTGATCCCAAAAAACAAAAACCACAAAAAAAACCCAGCATAAAATTAACAAAACTGTGCAGGCCTGGAAAACGTGCCGCTTGAAACGAAGAGACTTGGGCGGAGCCGAGTCCCTAAAGGCAATCGAAATAAATCTCCAGGACTTCTGAACATGCCATCCGCCTTGCTTTTAAAACCGAAGGTCTAAACAGCTGTCCCTGTGGGGTCCTGCCAGCCTGCTCTAGTCCATATCCATTTCTTAGGGGTGGGCGGTAAACTGTCCCCACAGAAGGATCACCTTGCCCAGAATGCGCCCTAAACATTCCTGGCCAAGCATGACGCACAACCGCCGCTAGCTGCACAATGGCCAAAGGCAGCGGCGCTCTGCCACATCATCCCCGGGTTAGCGGAGGCGACGTCGGCCTCCCCGCTCCTCCTGGGGATGCTCAGGCCAACCCTCTGACCTTGAAGGAACAAGACGTGAGCCGGGAGCTGCGGGTGCAACGCAGTCCAAACGAGTCTTGTTGGTCGCCGGCCCGACTGAGGGCCCGAGTGCACCAGCGGTGGTGGTGGTGGGGGGGGGGGGCCCGGCTGAAAAGCCCTTGCCAGGGGGCAGCCCCGTGGCCCCGCTGCCTGGAGATGCGCGCACCCCTTCTCACCTGGCACGCCGCGCCTTCGCCAGCCTCCCTCCCCACTGCGGACGCCTCTCGGCCTCTCGGGTTCTTCTGTCCCCCACAAGGAAGCCGAGAAGGGGGGGAAACACCCCACACAAACCTTGATTCCCACCTGCCGTGTCCCGAAGTCACACCTGGGAAGCTGGACGTTCCGCAGAGCGAGAGGAGAAAACGGAGGCAGAGCCCAGCGGAGGGAGGGAGGGAGGGAGGAGAACGTGCCCTGGGAGTTTCCCACAATGCCTCGCCGCAGACCCTCATCAAGGGAGGCGGGAGGTGGGGCAGGGGGCGGAGCCAGGGAGCGGGAAGGGAGGAGGAGAGGCTGGCGAGTCTCGGGCCCTCGCGGGGCGGAGTGCTCGCCCCCTGCCGAGTGGGCTGGCGCGAGCTGCGTCGCTGGAGCGGACCGTGGGCTCCTCTCGCTGGCTGGGAGGGCGTCGTGGCAATCCAGCGGTCCCGGGTGAGGAGCAATGCTCCCTCTAAGCTGTGGGGTCTTGCGAGCAAAAACGCTACTTGCAGTGTGCCCTCTAAGCTGAGTGAGTGTGAGCTAGCTCACAGTTTTTGAGCCTCCAGCTCACACATTTTTGTCTCCGCTCAGGAAGGAGGGCTCCAGAGCAAACTCATTTAGGCAATAGCCAAATTGCCCGCTCACAACTTTAATGCCAGCAGCTCACAAAGTAGAATTTTTGCTCACAAGAACCCACAGCTTAGAGGGAACATTGTTTGTGGGCTACTGGTGTTAAAGTCGTGAGCCAGAGATTTGGCTGCTGCATCAATCAAGTTTGCCCTGGAGCCCCACTCCTTCCTGAGCGGAGACCGAAATGTGTGCGCCGGAGGCTATAAAACTGTGAGCTGGCTCACACTCACTCAGCTTAGTGTGGTGAGGCGTGCTGGTGTAAAAGGCTGAGAATGTGGAGTAGGTGGTGCCCACTGCCCAGTGGCTCTTAACAGGAGCCCCGAGAGCAATGTCTGCTGCTGATAGGTAGGGAAGGCCAGTGGCAGTCAGACTGAGGATCCAAAAAAAAGCACTCTATAAATAAGGCAATCAAAGGCACTATGCTGAAGTGCAAAGGAACAAAGACTATTTATATAACACAAATGTGTACAAACAGATACACTGCAGTGTATACATATGTCATACAACAACACAGAGTGTACAAAAGAAGCCGGCCCACAGGACATAGGACGAAGAACTGACCTCCGCATTTCAGACTGCAGCTGGTGGACTCCAGTTCTGAATGTCTGCATAAAACACTTCATGCAGATCAAAACCTAGCCTAGGAAGGAGAAAGATTCTACTCGTCTCCTCTTTGCTTGTTTTGCTGGTTTTCTGTTTGAAGGAAGCATTTTAAAATATGAGCTGCAGTCTGCAGTGGTACAATCACTGGGGTTTATAAATGAAATAAAGGGGGGGAAAGGACCAGCCACACACAATAATTTCAGACGGGGCAGATTTTCTCATCCTTGCATGCCAGTTGCAGTTATCTGCTAACTATATCCCACAGCACGGCAACAAGCCCGTAGGACGGCCAGTGTGTTATCTAACTAGGATCTGGGAGACCCAGATATAAATCTCTACTCTGCAATGGAAGCTTGCTAGGTGATATTGGGCCGGTCATACACACATTCAGCCTAGCCCTCCCTCACAGGGTTGTAGCTTTATGAATAAAATGGAGAAGGGGGAAAAGATAAGTAAACTGTTTAATGTCCCCTTTGGGGAGAAAAGTGAGATATAAATGAAATAAATTAACATCATTTCTATTCAGGCAGTCAGGCTATAATAAGGAAACCGGAAATTTTATTTAGGTATGTGTATCCATCTTTCAGGAGCTGCGGTGGCTCAAGTGGTTAAGATGCTGAACTGCAGGCTGTGGAAGGTCAGTAGTTCAGTGGTTCAAGACCCGGGTGCCGCAAGACAGGGTGAGCTCCTGTTTCTAGTTCCAGCTCCTGCCAACCTAGCAGTTCGAAAGCAAGAAATTGCAAGTAGATAAATAGGTACCACTTCGGTGGGAAGGTAACAGCGTTCCGTGCGCCTTGGTGTTTAGTCATGCCGGCCACATGACCACGGAAACGTCTTCGGACAGCGCTAGCTCTTCGGCTTTGAAACGGAGATGAGCACTGCAACCCTAGAGTCGGATTCGACTGGCTTTTGAGCAAGGGAACCTTTACCTTTACCTATCCATCTTTCCTCTCCAGTGGAGATCCAAAGGGACTTGCAACATCATCCTTCCCTCCTTTTTATCCTCACAACTGTAGTGTCCTGGGAACCGCCACGAGGCGGTGGCCAGGCGAGCAGAGCTTGATTCCTAAAGAACAATAGAGACGAGGCTCCTAAGGTTCACTAGGGGAACCAATAGGAACCTTGGAGGGGAATTCAAACCCCCCAATGGGATCCAGGGGTGCTCCCTTGGATATGTATATAGTTGGCCACATGGCCCTTTGTCTTTGTCTTTTGTAGTGTGAAGTACTGAGTAAACGTGTGTTTCTTATGTCGGGGTCCGAGTCGTTATGTATCGAACCGAGTACTTTACAACAACAACAACTTTGCAAGGTAGGTTAGGGGGATTCAGACCAGGGCTTTTCATATTCTAGACTCACATGGACAGTATCTAGCCTCAAACGGAAATGACAGGTTACTCCAATAGCCCACTATATGTCGTTCTGATTATAGGTATAGATATCATCAAATGTACACGCGGTTGCAAACAGACATTCATGCCCAATTGCAGTGGCCCATACGTGCCTCCCCTCCCCAATGTAGACATGCTCCCAGTTACCTGAATGAATGCATTGGTGAGGGCTACTGTATTCTACTTTCCTAGCAGGAAGTCGACAGCCATTCCAGTAAAAAAATGTAAGAGTCTTGTAGGGCCTTAGAGATGCACGCATTTAGCATCGCACAGCCTTTCATGAGCCGGAGCCCACTTCATTGCAAGGATGGACTGTTAGGTTCAGTTGGCAGACAGAGAGAGATGGAGGAGAGGAGGAGATTGGATTTATACCCCGCCCTTCACTACCCAGAGGAGTCTCAGTACGGCTTACAAACTCCTTTCCCTCCCCCTCCCCACAACAGACACCCTGTGAGGGAGGTGGGGCTGAGAGAGCTCTTGACAGAAACTGCTCTTTTTCAAGGACAGCTCTGATCAGAACTACAGCTTGCCCAAGGTCACCCAGCCAGGTGCAAGTGGAGGAGTGGGGAATCAAACCTGGTTCTCCCAGATTAGAGTCCACACACTTAACCACTACCCCAATAGATGTTTACGCCGCTGTGTGACAGGCAGATAGGTCCAAAGAGCCATTCTATTGTTCTCCTATGACAATAGCTTCTCACCAGCCTCCTACTTACCACTCTTACCATCCTGCCAGGAGTGACTCTCCATGGCTCCTCAGTCTGACTGAAATACAAAAGTGATAACACAGTATAGTATATGGCCCTGTTCACACGGAGCATTTGCCCCGCGGAAGGCACAATAGTCGGGCGGATTTTCCGGGCGCGATCACGCCGGAACATCTGGGAGGTGTAGTGCAACTGTGGCCAACCCGTGGCGTGCCGCCGAAGATGCGCATTTAAAAGGTACCTGAAACAACCTACTGGCATATGGTTTGCCATGGACTGCATACGAACTCTCGTGGTGTGATTGTGCTGGCACACGGCTATTCCCCCGGGTCGTCCTCTTTGCTGCGCGCACCAACGGATTATTCTAGCCTAGGCCAGAGTAACCCCGGGTTTACTCTGGCCGGGGGGTGAATGGGGGGGTTATTCTAGCCTAGGCCAGAGTAACCCCAGGGTTACTCTGGCCGGGGGGGGGGTGAATCTGGCCTGTTACAGCCGGCCAGATTAACCTGGGGTTACTCTGGCCGGGGGGGTAATTCGGCCTGTTACACCGGCACACAGGACATAGGACGAAGAGTCGAAGACTCCAGATTCCAATCTTTGTTTCGTTGATACTTCTTCAGTTGTACCATACAGCTTCATCTAGTGCTCAATATATAGAAGCCTTCATGTTATTATGCAGGGGAAAATATCCACAATTCACATCAAACTAGCTAAAGCAGGGCAACCAATCATCAGTAGAAGAACATTCTTACATTGTCAGTAAGCCGGCTTCTTTTGTACACTCTGTGTTGTTGTACGTCATATGACACACAGTTACAATGCTACAATTGACATCCAGGCTAGAGTGTATTCTCAATATTTTATCAGCAAAAAAACGGCAAAAGAATTTTCTCTTCCTGAGACAATAAAGGCTCAGATTTTGACAGCAGCATTTCCTGGTATGATTTCTTTGCTGCCATCACTGCTGCTTCAAAGGTCTTACAATGGGCTCTGTAGCATAATCTTGAAGGATTCATGAGCCTCCAGGGGTGGAACATTTTAACTGGATCCCCTCTTATAGGGTGTTGGAGCCATATTCACCTTGGCCTTTAGTAAACAGTAGACCGTGCTGCGGGTCGAATATCTGAAACCAGCCCGTCCTTCAATTGTTCAGTGTGAAAATTAAATCCAGCGTGTGATCTCCTTTACGCGTTGGGGCCAGGGGTTTTTCTCATTTTCAAAGTCTTGTTTTGCCTGCATTTTCATGTTAAAAAACTGTTTAATCTAAAAGTGACAGCTTTTCGAATCAGATGGTTCCCTCCAGAAACACATGTGTGATGGCAGCTCTCACTTTTCAAAGACATCCTCAAATCCCACTGTCAAGCTTAGTTTCATTTCTTTGCAATTCACTTTACTGCTTGCCATGATATTAGGTAAAGGTAAAGGTTTCCCTTGCTCGAAAGCCAGTCGAATCCGACTCTAGGCTTGCGGTGCTCATCTCTGTTTCAAAGCCGAAGAGCCAGCACTGTCCGAAGACGTTTCCGTGGTCATGTGGCCGGCATGACTAAACACCAAGGTGCACGGAACGCTGTTACCTTCCCACCGAAGTGGTACCTATTTATCTACTTGCAATGTCTTGCTTTTGAACTGCTAGGTTGGCAGGAGCTGGAACTAGAGACGGGAGCTCACTCCATCATGCGGCACACTCGGGTCTCGAACTGCTGAACTACCGACTTTCCACAGCCTGCAGTTCAGCATCTTAACCACTTGAGCCACCACAGCTCCTGATATTGGGGGGAGGGAATTCCTGAGGGGAGTGCATGGGGAGTTGAGAGTGA